GAAGCAGTAATTCCATCTGCTATTATTACAGATCACTTGTGACTGCCAACAGAATGTGACTATTGAGAGAAAATGTCAACCATAGTACTAAATAATATTTCAGATTGTAACACGACAAAAGTTAACGTATCTTATGGAATTGTGCTCCTCAAAACTAATGATTTGTTTTTGTGACAGTATTTTTATTTGACTTCTGATGATACTAAGGAGAAATGACCACCACCTGATTATAATCTACAGTTCTTGCAAGGACACATTTTATACTGTAAACTGCCCACTTGGATACAAGATGGGTGGCAAATTTTATAAACAAACAAATAAATAAATAAAGAGTCTCTCCTTGAACCCATATATTCACCATATTATTATCTTCTATTTCCTTCACTCATGACTAAAGAACGGGAATTTCTGTTATAAATTCTGTTATAAATTGGATCCAAGGAATCATTTTATTAAATAGCCTCTAAGAAATAGTATTTATTTCTTCTGGGATTATTTGATTGATTTTCCTATCATTTCATGGCACTCTTAGTAAAAATCTCTAAAATCATAATTGAAAGGCATTTAACATATTTTTCTTAAAATATTGTAATAACCACCTTTCACAGTGGTACGTTATGGGGGGGGATTACTTTATTCTGATTTTTGTTGTCAGGGAAATATCTTTGTCTTTCATGGTCTTATCCAAATTTGTTATTTCTCCATAGAATTAATCTCTTATTTATATGTCTAACATACTTATTTTTATTTTTGAGTCCCTTAAAATACAACTAACACTTGCCATCTTTCCTTCTCCATCAACTGTGAATTTATTATGCAAATTGCAAACTGGTTCACATCATCTTTGTCATTGTCATGTTTAACATAAACCCTGTCTGTGTACACACAGAGATACACAGCTACAAACCTGTTTTTCTATCTCTAAGAGAAACAGTCTTTTTCTATATTTGTTCACATAGAGAAATTAGAACTTTTATAGTTTCTTCTCTTGCTACTTTAAATAGAGCAGTAAGTATATAGTCTAAGGTTGAAGCTTTCTGACAACCGACCCATTGATTCTTCTGCTTCAGTTTTACAGCACAATCATTTCCTGAATGTATTTTGCCTCTGCAAAAAATTTCGTCATTGCATAATCTCACTTGTAAAGAGTTTCAATTTCCTTTACTTTCTTTTTCCCTCTGTTAAATGTCTCTCATGATTTTCATTTTTCCCTGTTAAATCTCTTCCATGATTACCTTTCTTTTCCTCTATAAAATCTCTCCTATAATTAATGTTGAGAAATACTATCTTCACTGTAAATTTTCCTGTGAGTTTGCTAATAGTTTTCAAAATATTTTTGTTTTGTTATTTACCTCTGTTGGCATTCTTGGTTGAGATGTTAACCTTATTTGCTTGATGTTAAAACTCTTCATTCAGTCATCATGAACTTGATTGTTGTTCAAGGCTTTCATCCTCCAACTTTCCCTAGCTATCAACATGTTCTAAAACCTATCTGAATCTTTTCCTATTTGAAATTTAGGGCATTTTTATCAGTTTTCATATTTTTACTCTTTTTTTGGAGTATAAGATGCTCTGCAGTATAAGATGCACATTTGTTTTTGGGAAGAAAAACGAGGAAAAAAATTCTGCCTCTGCCTCTGCCTACCAGCATCCATCGGTATTCATCTGGCTAGCGTCCCTGCAGTAAACAGCCTGGTCAGCTTCAGCATTTTCGTCCTGATTCAGCACGAGCAGCTGATTCGCAGTTGGATCGGCCTCCCGGAATACTGGCAATCAGCTGTTCCAGGCTGCGGGGATCACCACAGCCCATTGCTGCCTCTGTGTGTCGCATTTTTGGCCTCCGCATGCCCTGCTTTTGGCCTCCACATGTTGCATTTTCAGCCAGTTCTAGGCATTGGGGTTCGCCGCCTCCTGGAATCAGCCAAAAATGCGACGCGTGGAGGCCAAAAATGTGTCGTGCGGAGATGGCGATTGGCAGCGAGATGCTATGGTGATCCTTGCAGCTTTGAAAAGATGGAGTGTGCGGAGGCCAAAAACGCGACGTGCGGAGGCTGAAAACAGCAGAAGGGTGGGGGCCGGCGGGTAGGTGGGGCTTCGGCAACATTTGGTGTATAAGACACACAGACATTTCCACCTACTTTTAGGGAGAGAATGCGTCTCCAAAAAGTACGGCATTTATCATCTATAATTCATGATCAGTACCTGGAATCTTCTGTTTCCTATTGTGTAGTCAATTACATTCCAGTAGGGTGTATGTATTGACATTCATTTACAGAGTTTTATATTGTTTAAAGCAGGAAAAAAGATAAGGAAAAAAGAATCATCTTCACTAATTGCTATTAACCTATATCCTATATTTTATTATTACTGGAGTAAAGCTGGAGGATGAAAGCCTTGAACAACAGTCAGGTTTATGATGATTGAATGAAGAGTTTTAACATCAAGCAAGTAAGGATAACATCTCAACCAAGAATGCCAACAAATAGTCCGATTTTATAATTCCACATTCCTCCATTTCTCCAACTTTTATATTCCAATCATCTATTAATCATGTAGATTTTCTCAATTAACATCTTCTACAGTTTGCCATAGAATCCCTCAGTGTCTTCCATCATCAATAGGTGGAGACATATCAGCCTCCATCAGATATCTATTAATTCCAATCTGTATTATCATCCTTAATTGAATGCCAAACACATATTTAGCAGAATATTTTTCTGAGTAACATGATCACATCATTACTTTGCTTAGCCTTCTGGCCTGAATTGTGTATTCATCTGTAAAATGACCTCTTTTGATTCCTCTAACTTTATTATTAACCATCAAATTGTCATTGTGACAGTTCCAGGTCTTCCTTGGTTAGTGCTTCTTACTGTTCCACATTGTATATTTCCTGATAAAACAAGAGGTTTCTCGTTAAATAGTGGCAGTTAGTGACCATTTCCTCTTGTACTTTCATTCTGGTTACACATACTCTTACATAGAGATTGGCTGAATTGATCAATACAGAAATATGGGAATGGTCCATTCCAAGCCTTCCAGAATGTCCTGTTTCTCTCCATATCAACCTGTTCTGGTATGTGATTTATCAGTTTCCAGAAGTCACATTTTTTGAACCAGAAATAGTCTGAAGTGTTCTGGGCATACCTTTATAGGAAAGGAAATGTATTTTGAGGATAGAAAACTCCTAGAATACTTCATATTATTTTAGGTCAAAGGATTCAACTTTGTGAACTGACAAATTGTTCTCTGGATGATCCAGAGAGAAGTGGAATATTCCAGAGATCTCTGGAGTGCTCTTTTTCAGGATCAAATTTTTTTGCATTTTTTCCAGGCCTTCTTACAAAAAGTTGGTAACTTGCTAGTAGAGGAGCAGTTGTGTGTGTGAGAGAGGGTAGGATCCTTATGATATGGCACTCAAATCCTTCTTAATGTAGTTAAATGAAGGCTACTAATTACTTTCAGTAATTAGGCTTAATTACTGAAATCAGTATTAGGCTTAAGTAAGAAAATTAATCATGTGGATTAATAAAACTATAAGATTGAATAGTATCACATGAATATCCAATCACATGAATATCTTCTAATCACTTCAAGATCACATAAAGTTCTAGTACTGCTTTACAAAGCCTTAGTAAGACCACACTTGGAATACTGCATCCAGTTCTGGTCACCATAATAGAAAAAAAGATGTTGAGACTCTGGAAAGATTGCAGAGAAGAGCATCAAGAATGATTAAGGGGCTGGAGGCTAAAACATACAAAGAACGGTTACAGGAATTGGGTATTTCTAGTCTAATAAAAGAAAGAGTAGGAGAGACATGATAGCAGTGTTCTAATATTTGAGGGGCTCCTACAAAGACAAGGGAATAAAATTATTTTCCAAAGCACCAAAAGGCAATTGATGGAAACAGTGGATGGAAATTAACCAAGGAGAGAAGAAACCTAGAACTAAGGAGAAATTTCTTAACAATGAGAGCAATTAACCAATGGAACAACTTGCCTTCAGAAGTTGTGGATGCTCACTGGAGGCTTTCAAAAAGAGACTGGACAATCATTTATCTGAAATGGTATAAGGTCTCCTTGCTCGAGCAGGGGATTGGACTATAAGACCTCCAAGGTCCTTTCCAACTCTATATTGTTCTATGTTCTAATAATAGATCGAGAACATTGGCTAACATAGAATATATTTCAGAGCAGATATTTTTTCAGTATCCCCTTTTCCTCCATTTGTCAACTATTCATTTGGTGTTATTAAGGCAAAGGCAATATCATCTATTGGAAAGAGAAAATCTGTGAATGTTGACTGTTCTTTTGGTAGTAGTTCCCTCATCCAAACTTTTAAAATTATACTAATGTATGATATGAAATGTGTTTTTGAAATATTGTTCTCCATATTGTGATTTTATGTAAGACAATGTAAGATTTATGGCAGAATATATGTGGTGTGTGTCTGCTTGCAAAAGACTTTTTTGTATGCTTGTCTCCCAACTAATTAATTAACTATGCCACTTGAGAGAATGAATTAATACAAGCCAGAGAAAATGAAAAGGGAGTCTCTACCCAGTCCCTTCCACATCTGAGTCAGATTTCTTGTAAGTTCTTATTATTTATTTTTAGTTAATTAGGAAATTCAGCATTGTGCTGACGTGTATTATTTCTGTATTTATTTCAGTAAATGCCTATGTAGCATTCATAGTGGACCATGCAAAATAACTTTGAATAATTTAGATAACATTATAGGCAAGCAACTATGTAATCTTATACTTTCTAAATAAAGCAGAAATAGTTGGGCAGTATCTGCTGTCACAAGAAGGGAAAATTATTTTGTGACAATATGTTTAAAGATACCATCTAATTAGTTATTTGGATGATTGATCATGTTTTTAATAAACTGATTTTTGTATGATCAAAACCATAATGTCATTGCCATTTGGATGCTATTGAATTCAATGATTAATTTACAATTAATACTAAAAACATACATTCATTAGAAGCTAATGTTTGATAATATTCATATTTGGTACAAATTTCAACAGGGCAGCATGAACATTAAATGCTTAGTAACAATCATGTGTGCTACTATAAATACAAAACATTTCCCAGGCTTGTCTGTAGAGAAACTGGGTCTCTTAATGTGTTTGTTTTCTTTTCAAGCAATTTTGGGTTCCATCTCTGTTTTCTGAATATTCAATCAGTCTCTGCAAACAAGAAATTCAAAGGAAAATTATGAGCCCTTATACAGAAAAAAAACCAACATGTGAGGTGGGCTGGGGTTAGAAATCATGTATTTTTAGTTTTAATGTTTCATTAATTTTAGTATGTCCGTATGCAAAATTCAAAATAAAATGCAGTAAATGACAACAGAGCCAGTGATGTGTAGTTAAGACACAAAGCTAGAAACTGAGAGACTGTGAGTTCTATTTCTTCCTTACACAAAGTCAGCTGGGTAACTTTGGGCCAGTCGCTCTTTCTCAGCCCTAGGAAGGAGACAGTGGCAAACCACTTTCAAAATCTTCCCAAGAGAACTGCAGGGACTTGTCCGAGCAGTTTCCAGGAATGAACACTGACTCAAAGGCACAAAACTGAACAAACGCTAATATGTTATAACAACACTACCTTAAAACCTCACTACATTTACATATTAAATAAACATGTTTACCTGCACTAGTTGAGAATATTGGCACAAAACAAATGTCTCAGGAGTAAATTTCATTAATGAAGGGATAGCCACTTCGGTAGAAAGTCAAAATATAGTTTTAATAAATAATATAAGAATAGTTTATCTCTACAGGATACATGCAAAGAAAATATTGTGAATCTTCCTGCTGAATCAACAGCAAGCTGACTACATTAGTTTGAACAAACCATAATGCCATGGTTCATAGAAAGGTGAGCTTGCACAATACACTAATCCAAAACCAAAGACACTCCTTGCTGTTTCCCTCCCTATAGTAGCAGATTCAAATAGTAAAAATGTGGCTTACCTGAGTCTGTTACCAAGATTTTGCTTGTTAGGCATGGAAAACACAGGGGAGTTTCTGGGTGCAAACAAATATGTCTAGAGACATATTAAATTGGCCAATTCTGCCTTGATCTGCACAAGTTACTTAAAGCATTCACAGAGGATCTCTGTGTATACTGTAAATATGGAGAGCTGTCTTGCTGTAATTGAAGACTTTGAGAATACTGGAAATCCAAACATAGATATATGTATAGGACTATTTTTCTAATTAATGCACCTAGGGTTGTTCATTCAAAAAGTGGGCCCTTAACATTATGTTTTTAACAGGGTCATAGCTTTGGCTGGTTAGTTTCCCAAAATATTGTCATAGTTCTTTTCTTTCAAAACATGCCTCTTGTTGAATTGTGGATGCCCTGAATCGGTCAAAGGCCTAGCTAAAACCATTTTTCCCTCCCTCCCCCTTCATCCCAACTTGCTTTTGTTATGTATTGGCTTGCTAATCCTTGTGTTGAGCAGTATCAGACATCACCTTTCTTGGGGGCAGTTAGTCCACTCTTCCGCTTTCTTTGTCAGAGGGCTCCCTTAATAGGAGAAGTCAACAGGGAGGACAAAAAGGATTGAAAGTTGTATTTAATCAGGGTCAGAGAGGTGGTGTTCAGAGTGACGGGCCCACAGGCAGGCTGGCCTTTTATGCTTACCGACGCAGATGGTCCCAAAGCATTCAGCTAAGTGAAGAGAAAGCTGCCCAGTGAGCTATTGTAGGGGCAGAGCCTCGTTACAGTTGAGAAGGGTTGCCAAGGGTAACTAGAGAGTATCACCACTATCGTGTGATCACTAGTCTATGCCTTTGGAAATGTTAAACTGAGAATTGCTTTGGGGCTCTCAGCATCTGGATGTTCATGGAAGCAGTATTATCTTGCATAAGCTTTTGATTTATTTCACTTTGAGGAACTGGACAAATGAGAAAGATTTTTCAGTTTACTTTGGGAAAAAGTTGCTACTCAGAACCAATACTTTTAATCCTATAGTAGAAGTTACAGCAGCATTTTCGAAAAATGCATTTCGGAGACTTTAATTGTAATGCATTTGGGTGAATTTTGAAAATGTATGTATGTATGTATGTATGTATGTATGTATGTATGTATATGTATGCACATCCCAGAAGGTGTGTCTATCCAAATTTGTCTATTAAATAATAACAGAAACTCTTTAGGTACTTGTGGTGTGTGTGTGTGTGTGTGTGTGTGTGTGACAGAGAGAGGGAGAGAGGAAGAATGAGAAAACGAGAGAATGAGAATGAATTTTAAATAACGCTTAGGTTCAGACTAATTTTCTTGAAATCAAAGGCTGTTGCTCTTTCCAATTCTTATACCCTTAAGTATAAACATAATTTACTATGGTTCATTAATTAATGATACTAAGCAGTTCAAAATACATTGGAGGAATGATATGACTAGCTAAGATGCACTCTAGAATAGCAAGTTAGCTCTTAGATGTGAACAACTTGTACTTTGCACAATTCAAGGGGTAGAGGTAGCCAGCAAAGGTGTACAGGTTTCCCTATCTTCCAGACTGCCATGTGAAATTTCACTTCCTATTGCAAACTAAAATTAACCAAGTGTCCAAAGAGCCATATAGGCCTCTAGCATTTTTACCTCCATAGGAACTATTCAGTTAAACTTAATACATAGCCAATTATTTTGCTATATACAATATGGAGGTGTCTGTGATTTCTCCTTTATTTCTCCTCCGCTCAATTCTTACACTTGGCCATATTGACAGAAACTGGTTTTTGTATTATATTTTACATTATGCTATGCTATTTTATGTTATATGTTATGTTTTATGTTAGCTATAATATATATATGTAATGAAATGTATAAAAATAATATATAGTTGTGGTATTGCAAACCTACACACTTATCTGTTTACTGTGAAGGATGCAGCACATTCCATCAACAAATATTTTGCTTTGAATTCAGAATCTAAGGGAAACAGATTTAATAGAATCAGCTTGTTCGTTTATTTATTGATTGATTTATTAGATTTGTATCGTATCTTTTATACAACTAGGGACATGCATAAAATACAAGATACATTATTTGAATTAACTGTGCAAGTAATATTGTCAGAATTTTAGTAAGAATAGAGACTTATTCAAAGGACTTAAATGGATTTTTTTAAACGGTTGCATTCAGAGGTAGTCCTTAAAAGATTTTGAGAATATCCGCTTAAAAGATTCTAACTTCCTCTTGTGTTCTTTTTTCTTTCTTTTTCTGTGGTTAAAATTTAACGATTAGATGAAACATCTGTGGGCAACCAATATAGACAAAGTTGTGTATAGAAAATAAACTGAGAATTGATTAGGATGTGCTGATGGAACTGAGAGGAAGTATATATTTTGTATAACGAACTTTAAAAAAAAGAAATTTCAGTAATGTGAGCTTTTTTCGAAGTCGAAAATGCTAAGGTGAACAAAATTAGTGAATTAATTTGCATAATAATTTTTATTCATTTTTTCATTGCTCAGGATAAGGTAGGGAACTTTAATGCAATAATTTTACCAGATAGTACTTCTGTGTTGCGGTTATTGTTGAATCAGGCCAAACTGATTTATTTTTCCCAGGGAACTTCAAAACATGTTTTCTAATTCATGACTGGAATAGAAAATAAGTAGCATGTCCTTTACATATATAAGGTGTGGCAGAAACTAGAGAGATATTGGGAAGTTTATAAAACAGTATGGAATATTCTGTATCCTCTGCTAGAAGTGAATAATTGAGAGGTTGATTTTTCAGTAGTGAATTGTGTTAGACTTACAAATGGGTTGCACCTCAGTGTAAGGTGAATGATGCCAGTGGTTATGCTTCCATTCTTCAATTACCCCCTATTTTTCTTCTTATTTTTAATAACCATTTTAAGAAAACTGGAAAACAATGAGTAGCTAATAAGGAGAAAGAATGTACATGTCCAGTAAAGATCTGCAGAGACCAAAAAGACAATACAAATGATTGAGGAATACAATGGGTTTCTCCAAAAGCCAGGCTGGATACAAGAGGTGTGTAAGGTTTGAAGCAGGGGCAACTGACATGGTTGGTAAGGGGACTAATACTATTCCTCAATATGGAACTGAGAAGTTTGAGACCACTGAGATGCTTCTCTTTCCCATCTTAAAGTTGTCTCTCTTACCTAGTGATATTTTAAAAGTAATTGCATTATATATTTAGGACTCAGCTCTAACAAATTCCCTATTTGCACAGAATTGGTTTTCAGGGAAACTTGACTCACATGATCAGGAAGTTTGAGACTTAATGGTAGTGCAGTGGTATTCTGGCTTCCTTCCCCTCTCCCATTGAGTGAGTCAAAAAGTGAATGCTTAATTTAGAAGACAAAGACCCATATTTTGTACATCTAATACAATTCTTTCATTTGTTGTCCTACTATGATAGGAAGTCTGCCTTCAAAATATTTCTCCTTCTTCATAATAGGAGTTAGTTCCATTATTTATATATGTGAATACACACACATGCACACACACACATGCACACACATACATATATGTGCATGCACATATATGCCGTGTGTTTATGTGTGTATACACCTATACCCCCAGGCTTCACACAGGACAAAATGTTGATCACATCACTATATTGCACATCGTACTCAGCAGTAGTACTTGCTCTAGCTATATTCTTTTTCGAGTTGGTTTTAGAAGGTCGTTTTTGCATATGCAATTGAATTGTAACAACTGAATCTGCTTCTTCCTACATGTTGATCATTAGATCTAATCTAGTGATGTAACAGATTGTGAGACATGGGATTGATTTACTCTGTCACCTCTTTGTGTTGATGCAAGAGCAGGATAGCTTGTGGTGGATCCAGTATACACTTACACATTCAATTTATATTCTGCTTTGCTGTTGATTTTCTGTATTTTGATATTAGCATATGACTATCACAGCTATTAAAAATCCTGAGCTGCATCCAAAAAAACCCCACAGCACCTTATTAATATCTCCAGATACTATTAAATTGGGAGAACCTAAAAGAAGATGTTCTGTCAGTTTAACTGGGAGGTTGCAACTTACTAAGATGGGGGGAAATGTGAAGTATAACATGAGCTATTTCCATCTAAATTTCTTTATATAAGAACCCTTTTTTCTAGTCTTTATATCCAGTAATGACTGTTTCTTGATTAGTCTTACTTTATACTTCTAATATATCCAGCATGATACAGTATTTAAGGTATTGGACTGGCATTGGGGAGCCTCAAGTTCTAATACATCTCAGTAATAGAAAATCCCTGGGTGGCTTTGACCAGCCGTCTCAGTCCAACCTCACAGGATTGTTGGTGGAAATAAGGGAAGGGACTACTATGTAGGCTGCCTTGAACTCCTGTATGAAAGGGAAATAAATTGAACAAATAAAGAAAAATAAATACCCTGTTGAAGTTGTTGGCACCCTGTGGTCTTGAATGCAGAGGATACACCCGGAGATCCCACTCATGAAAAACTCAGAGGCTTATTTACTCAGAAGTTTTATTCTGTTTTTGTAACCAATTTTTTTTTTATAACTTCTGGGTAACAGTTTGAGCAAAACAATCTTGCACCAAAAGCAATAGTTCTGATCTGATTGGTGTTTACCTTTTTATGAACTGAAAACAAAAAGTAGACAACCGAGATTCTAAATTGTGCATTATATCATTTATTCTCCAGGGGCAGTAAAAGCATTTGTTTTATTTTTGTCTGACTGCTGTGAACGCTACAAAGAATAGCACTGAAGCTTGGCTACTTACTTTTTTTAAACTATTCATTTTATACTTCTCAGACAGATTTTTCCCTGGGGTGAAACAAAGGTTAACTGAAATTTCCTCTGTTGTGTACCTGAACGAATCAGCAGTTTGAGAAGGAAATCCCATTGATGGGCAAAGAGAGTGACAGGCTCTATTTAAAGAATTCCCCCGACTGTGTGGTAGACCAACCATGCCATGAATTTAACTGTTCCTGTGGTCCCCATACTTGTACCTACTAAAAGAGAGAGAGATTACTTTGTTCTCCAAATGTTACACTAAGTTTTGAAAAATACCAACTATTGATACTTGTTTGTAAACATTACTCCTGTTTACAAAACCTAAATTATCAAGAGGTTCATATTTTTGAAAATACAAAATAAAGGAAAACAAAACAAAGAATGTCTGTAGTTAACTTTTTCATTTTGCAAGTTGCGACACATTTCTAAGGTGCAATGTTTTACAAATATGTGTATATTTAGTATCAACAGATAGGGATATATTACCATTCTTTCATGTAATATTTCCTGCAGACATAATAAATTGAAATGGAATCTTAGGTTAATATAAATTACCATAATACATAGAGGAATATGTAGTAAAAATGCACATATTTGAACATTTAGTAAGCTTTTTTTTAAAAAAAATCACGAAGGCTGCTTGGTATATATGCCTTCATTTGGATTAAATATAATTCATGCATGTTTGGATTAAGTAATATTATTTTCTGAATAGATATTAAATTCTAACCTCCCTCTGTTATAGCCCTCAAAAATATACCCATCAGGC